ATTTGTAACGTACTAAAAACTTTATTTGATACACACACAATGAACTTTAATGAAATGTAATAAAGAAAAACCCTTTCAATAATTATTTCAAAAACGTTTTTTTTTTCAACCTGCAGTGTCCAACTAGAATTTAATTGGTTTTATTTTATTGTGAAACCATTTTTAGAGTAGAGCCTTTTTCACTGATTTGTTGTGACTTTCAGGGTAAAGACGACGTCACCGGGGAGCCGCTGATTCAGCACGACGACGACAAACCTGAGGCTCTGATGGCGAGACTGAGACATTACAAGGACGTGGCAAAGCCTGTGATAGACTTGTACAAGTTAGTGAAAACATTTCTTTTTGGGATTTATGAGATCGCTGGTATTTTCATTCATCAAAATTGTTCAGCAACAAATCAAAACTTTACAAAACAGTACAAAAATGTAAACATTTTGACTGAAAAGGTACAGGCAGAAGCACAAGGCTTATATTTATGCCTGTCCTACACATCCAATTAAACTAAACTACCCCTAATCATTGCTATAAAAAAACACAAAAAACAAAGAAAACAAGCAATCTTTAACAAAACAAATACAATAACAATTTAAAGTTATTTTCACTTGTAACTCTCAAATATATATCTTTTTAGAATTTTTTTGAAAACCCTTAATGAACTACATTCTCGTAGTCCATGCAGTCCATGTAGGGGCTTGTCGCTGGAAAGCCTCGATAAAAGACGCCGACGTTTCCTCTGATGATGAGCGCTAGTGTCGCGGTAGCAACATGCTATGTGTTTACATCCATTGCCGCCATGTTTGTAATGACTTATTGCGAGAACAAACGTATTCACGCTTGACTTTAATAACATTTCTTTCTTAATGGAAACACCGCAGTTGCGAAACTGTGTTTTTCGACATTAACAGAATATCGACAAAGTTTTGCGCACATTTGCATTGGAAACGCAGCTACTGACATAAACCCCATTTCCTTCAAGCTTTTTTTACCCATCTCATTATTTCAAACTTATACTTATTTTTAACCAACTTAACCACAATAGTTGGTATGTTTGCCTTATTCTTATGTGGAGGAGTGTAGCAAGCTGAGATTTGCTGACTCTCTAGTTTGATGTTCTTACTGTTCATATACTGGATCACTTGTTGTTCCTGAGTGTTCAGCTCCTCAGGTGGTGCATCCTCCCCTTGTTGGTCAATGTCCACAACCCTGGCGTATACGATGTTTAGTAGCCAATCCATTAATTATAATGTCATCAACCCTGGAGCACTGTTCCAAGTCGTCAATTCTTTGTTCCAATACTCCAATCTTGTCATGTCTTAGCTTGATTGTAGTCCACAGCTCACGAACCTCTTCCATAGGTATCAGTGCCTGAGGGGAGCTAGCAGCTATTTTTGACCCTCAGACTTATATCGGTGACACTACAGTGTATTCACATAATTTGTATAAAAATAAAGCGTTGTGGTGCCAAGTATACAAATGAGCGCAGAACATCTGCAAACTGAACAGCAAGCTGTTGCTATTTGATGCCCCCCTGTGCTTTGTGAACAGAATAATCCTCCTTTTATCCAGTATATTTGTGTAACCATTACCTGTTTTTCCACTTCTTTTGTTCTCCTCACTCTCCACTCAGGTCGCAAGGAATCCTGCACTCGTTTTCTGGTACAGAGACGGATAGGATTTGGCCTTACATCAATTCTCTTCTCAGCGCCAAGCTGCACACGCAGCCGTCCGACAGCCGGCAAACACAAACGCCCTGACACGGACCTGAGCGAAAAAACTACAGGGAAGATGGTGGAAGTGGTATTTTTTTTCCCCTAACATGACGAATTGATGTTCCAAAAGCTGCACTAAGACACCAATCAAGAGTTTGCTGATTTTTCAGATTAYTGGCTTTTGTTGATATTTTTAGAGCTTTGTGCTTATGATTGTAAAAAAAAAAATACGTTTTTTAAAGTGAGACAATCAAAGACTTTCAAGGCCTTTTTTCTTTTTTTTACATTTTAGATTTAACTTTTTTTTTCACTTGTTGAACTGTACACATTGTCCACAGGATTTCTTCAAAGGCTTTACTGATATTTCACTGGAAACCAAAAATAGAAAAGTTGATGGAACATGTAAGACCAATTCCTGTTTTTCGATGTTGCTTTGAAAGTGATGAGTTCTTGGAGCAAACATTTGAAATGGGATTTAATAACTTTATATTTTCAGGTTTTGGGTGGCGTACTTCTAACTGCCAGCATAGTGTTCACTGAACACTATGCACCCAGAGTTATCTGTTACATAATACGTTGCACGGTGGCTGAATTGGCGTTCAGTTCTTCATCAGCTCTGATTCTAGATTCATTTTCTTTAGCCAGGATCTCACTTGACTGCAGCTGCTGGAGACAAGCTGATGATTAAAAATGGCAAAAATTTGAATTCCCACATCCAATATCAGAATTAAAGTGTTTTGCCACCAAGCAACCGTTGAGCTGAGCGGCCGTGTTTTGCATGACCAAATTTTTAAAATCGTCTAATTTTAATTAGCACGGCTTGCCGAACGATCTGGGCGAGGCACATTATTTMGTGGCCCACATCGTTCCCCCGCCTCAGCGCAAAGTGTTCACTTCAAACCACAGGCTCTGCGGTGTGTGTGTACTTCTGAACCGATTCTTGGATCAAATAAACAAAATGTACATTACTGGAGTGATGCAGGTGTAGCTCGGGACATCTAGGTGCGGTAACGCCTTATTTAGCCTTACTTAAAGGCACAGTGTGTAGGATTTGTTTTCAGCGACATCTAGTGGTTGAGTGATTAAATCATCCTCCCTGGTCCTCCCCCCACCCCCACCCCCCGCTTCCAAACGCAAAGGAGTTGCTACGGTGTCTCTCAGGTGTCAAAAACCTTTGATAATTCCAACCG